ATCTAAATGCATACAAACAATGAATCTGATCTTTTTTCAGTGAAACATATTAAAAGATGATATACATTCAGTCATTGACTCCTTCAAGATATTTTCGAAGCTGGTAGAACCATTAGATAACAAATGTAGATCTTTGGTACAATAATCGGTTGGCTGGAACGGGTTACAAACTATGACATCAAAAGTCTACTGTACCCGTGGCACAAGAAATGGCTACCGTGACTCATTGGCCTAGTGGATAATGCCCTGGTATTTGAAGCCACTAGCCTTGGTTTCGAGTCTTAGAGGGAACAACACAACTCACTGGAAACCAGGTACATCTCGCTGATGAGCCCTACATGGGAGGAAACCCGCCTGATGGATTCCATAATAAACCACTATCCATTACTGATATCAAGATTAAAGTTGTTTAGACTGACAGATATCTGCAGCCCATCATCATAGAACAAAGCATGAATACCAGTCAGGTCTTCACCTTACCTCAACTACATCAATTTTGAAAAGGCCTTCGACAGCGTCGACCGAGAAGTAATTTGGCAACTGCTTCAACACTACGGAGTGCCACAAATCTTTATCAACCTCATTCAACAGAAGATATATACTATATGACACTACATGCCAATTGATTCACAATGGAAAGCTCAGTGATGACTTTGAAATAAAGACAGGAGGTAGTAAGACACGGCTGCCTAGTATCACCGATGATCTTCGTGATTGCGGTAGACTAAACCAGACTACACTGGATCACGCAGGAAAGCATGAGCAGTGAGAAGATGGGCATACGTTGGCTGGACCAATGAAAACACTCCAGAAGAAGATTTGGATTTCGCCGATGTCTAATGTCTGATCACAAAAACTCGAAGATCTACAGGTGGAAACTAACTAACAAGTTGACAGAAGAGGCGAGGTGAGGTGAGGTGAGGCAATGAAGACAAACTTCAGGTGAACGTAGAGATGAGAAGTAGAGAAGATACCCAACCAACAACACCATCAACAAAAAGAGGCACCAATCGCAATCAACGGGAGAAACCTAAAGGAAGTTGTCTGTTTCACCTACCTCCCTACATAGACAGCATCCTCTCAACTACAGGCGGCACAGGCACAGACGAACCAACCAACAACCTATCACTCAACAAATATGCAGTGGAAGAGAGTGGAGATGGATTGGACTGGATTGGATTGGGCATACACTGAGAAGAGCGATTGGGGACATCACGCGGCAGGCCAGACTAGGTCGTCGAGTGGAATCCAAAGAGGGAAATGACGAGTTTGGTGTTGGAGGCGAGGGTGACATGGAGGAGATGGTGTGAGGAAGAGATGAAAGCTTGTGGGTAGTGGTGGAGCCAGGTTGAGAATACTGCAGATGAGAGAGTGGAATGGAGGCGTGCTACTGAATCCCTATTTTCCACTAGGAACCCAAGGGAAAAAAAAATACTTTACAGGAAGTCAACATAAAATGGAGAATACCTTCTTGGTTGGTTCGTTGTCAGCCACCCACCCAGCCAGCCAGCCAGTGAGAGTTCCTTGTTGCTTATTCTTATCATTCTGGCCATCTGATCTCCATCTTCAGCATCGAGCCATAGCGGGTGGCAACTGTTGATGAATGTCTGTAGTTTGTTGGAAGTGCATTTTGTGACGTGCCAAGTTTCTGAAGCATATAGCAGCACCGACTTGATACTGGTGTTGAAAATCCGGATGTTGTTCACGCTTTATGCTGAATGCATTGCGGTGTGGATTGCAGTGGATTGCAGTAGATCTCCACACTAATTATTTCAGATTAATGCAGGAAGGCCTGTCTTGCTGTCTTTCCGATCCTGGCTGCTTTGACATCCTCGTCTGTGTCTGTGCCGCCTGTAGTTGAGAGGATGCTGTCTATGTAGGGAGGTAGGTGAAACAGACAACTTCCTTTAGGTTTCTCCCGTTGATTGCGATTGGTGCCTCTTTTTGTTGATGGTGTTGTTGGTTGGGTATCTTCTCTACTTCTCATCTCTACGTTCACCTGAAGTTTGTCTTCATTGCCTCACCTCACCTCACCTCGCCTCTTCTGTCAACTTGTTAGTTAGTTTCCACCTGTAGATCTTCGAGTTTTTGTGATCAGACATTAGACATCGGCGAAATCCAAATCTTCTTCTGGAGTGTTTTCATTGGTCCAGCCAACGTATGCCCATCTTCTCACTGCTCATGCTTTCCTGCGTGATCCAGTTCTGTATATTGGTCTACTGGTTTATTGTGGAACATAGAATTTCAATGAAGTTGACGAACCTTCATTATTTTGTACCTGATTAGGCTGAAAAATTCTCATAATTAAGTCACTCTATATCACCATACTTTCTGTAATCCTATAAGCTATAAATTTATGACTTTACTTGCATCAATACGAACAGTTTCCCATTAATTTGTAGCGCACATAAAAATTCCTTTATGTCTACCATATTTTAAATTTATCCTGTCATTTTCTTCGTTTTATTTAAACGATAGACGAATATTCCTTACTAAATACAGAGAATACTGAACATTGGACATTGAATATTTACGCTCTCATGTGCACACACACACACACACACAATAAAATGAATTTCAATCAACCAAAAGTTTTGATCACACTCAGTAGTATATTCATTGCTAACTGAAGGTGTTTAGAGTAGGATAAAGCATAATTTCTTATTTTTGGAAAGGTTAAAATGGAGAAATTAAAAACTCATTGGAATCTTTGTTTACCAATTGTAAGCATTCACTTTGACATAGTTTTACTGTATAAAGGAATCAATTTATTGTAGGCGGATAATTTAATGCCAAAATAGGACATTGTTTCGCTAAAATGATTGAAATTAGAATTGGTTATAAAAGTGACTAACGCTACACTAAACTGTCATAATTAAGTAAGTAAGTATAAACATGGGATTATTGTATGAAGTGTGATTCAGTATTTCATGATGCTTTGAAATGTCTGACAGTATAAACAGTGTTTGTATTTATACTCGGTGATGAAAATCTGGATCACAGCTCGATTCAAACCACCGACCATCAGGTTACTGACCCAGTTCTCTATCAACTCACCTACGAGGTCCGACTGCTCACCAGATGTTTATTTCACTTCAATCACAAGGTGGAGTTTTACCCAACTACCATATGAATTCGTGACACCTTACTACCATTTGATTGTATTCACACTAGCTGCTTGCAGTGAGGACTTCTCATCCTAATCGAAATGTAGGTTATTCAGAGAGTGGGAGCATCATATTGATTATCATTTGGCTATCTGAATCTGAGATAACCGTGGTTTGGCTCACTATTATTTATACTGGGTGATGATGAGATGTCCTGACTAGGCAGCCACTGTGAATACAATCAAGTGGTAGTAAGGTGTCACGAATTCGCATGGTAGTCGGGCAAAACCCCCACTTTGTGATTGAAGTGAAATAAACATCTAGTGAGCTGTCAGACATCGTAGGTGAGTTGATAGAGCACTGGGTCGGTAACCCGATGGTCAGTGGTTTGAATCGGGCCGCGGTCCAGATTTTCTTTCCATCTTCAATCATCACCCAGTATGAATTCTAGTCTGCGAAACTACGGCTATCTCAAATTCAGATAGTCAAATGATAATGTTTCAATTGATAGCTCTAAGAAGGATCAACACTACTTTTGTATCATTACTGTGCGCACGAAATTGAACGATGTACTTCTCTCGGATTGATGTTAAGCGGTTGCAGGCAGTCGAAAGGAAGCCCTATACGGTCCGGGTTTCGTGTTTGTTGGCACTCATCACCAAGGCGCATCTACAACCCTAATGAAAGTGACATCTCTCCTTGGGTTCGAACCCAAGCCACCAAGTGTTGCAGCCAATGATGTTACCACTGACCTATTGGGGCACGATTGACTTCCTGCATGAAAGGATAACATGGAGTCAGCGGGTGGCACGCGTTCGAGTCTCAGGCGAGACATAACTTTCCCTGAGGTTATGGATACGCCTTGCTGACGAGTACCAAAAAACACGAAACCTAGGTCCAAAGCTCTCTGTTGGTTGCATCCAACTAACTAACGTCTATCTAAATGCGTTGTGATGGTGATCCTTCCAGTTTGGTGGCCACATTGCAAAATGAGCGACTGAATTCGATCAGCCTTTGGGACTAGACAGCGTGAAATTGGTTGCCGTCCAGTGACCAGTCAATGGATGCACACCTCTGTAAAATAAAGTGAGAAGACATCAGAATGAAATTTTCAAAAAATGGCAGAAATTTCTGAAAAGAAAAAGAAGAGGACAAAGAGTAATGAGACAACAGTGAAATGTTATGTGCTGATTAACATAAAAATAAGGTGAGGATACATCCATATCACTGAAAGCGATTCTTAGCCACAGCACCTAGTGTCTCCAGCCACCCATTTCTATTGTCTTATGGACTCTAGTAGGAAGGTGTACATTTCTATATATGGCTCACATCAGCAGTGATAGTCTTGACGTCTCCCAGGAACCCCTTTTCAGCTCAAACTTACATGAAGTACTGTAGCGCGGTGAGGCAAACGGTTAGTAGATATGCGTAACACTTTTCCAAGCCATTTGATTAGATGAACGTTTATGACCTCGTTGACTACCTTTCCTCTACTACTTAAAACTCTACGCCTGACTTCTGCATTCCTGATTTGGTAACACCACTACACTTGACCTATGTTAAGAAGGCAATGGTGGTTGGAAATCTGAAGTCTCCTCACATCGTCTATCCTTAGTGCCCGTGTTTTACAGGTATGCACGAGAACACAGCGAACTGCATGGGAGTATACTCGGCACTTAACAGGCAATCGGATATCAAGGCAGCACTACAGATGATGTAATTTGACTTAGGTCAAAGTAGAGATTTAGTAAGTCACTGACCCATCAGGTATGATCCGACTTTTCAAGGAATGCATGTTCTAGAATAATTTGAATAACCTTTGCACTATTCGTCTGTTTTTAGTCTTATGTAATATATCCTTTTCATTTGTATAATTTTTTTTATTTTCAAAAGGTATTTGAATGTAATCGTGTTGGTAATCGAATCCAGAAGCCAATATGTGCAGAGATTATTTGTCATGTGAAAGAATTAGTAAAACATCGTCCAGTACTTATTAAAGTGACTGGATGGTTATGGGCACGTACATTATTCGCTAAGCACATCTCAGATGTTGATGTAAGTCAAAAATTTTCTACCGATAAATATTCCCTTTTGTTAATAGGCTAACAAATTACTGGTGTGATGCTTCAATGACTCATATGAATGAGATAGAAATACAACTTGTTAGTACTTTCATTTCACTAGTTTGAATAAAGCAAGCAGAACAATAATAGCGGGTTCAGAATACATCCACTTAGTAGATTCTCTTCAGCTACTGCACCATCTATAGTATACAATGATTATGATTGAAAAAAACCTCGCCTGGTTAACTAGTTCACTAGTTAATTAAAGGAAGTAACCTCCTACACTTATCTAGGAAGCACTGTTTCAACTACAGGCGGGACAGACGAGGACGTCAAAGTCAGAATCAGAAAAGCAAGATAGGTGTTCATTAGCCTGAAACCAGTATGGAGATCTTCTGCACTCAGCATGCGGAACAAGATACGGATTTTCAACACCAACGTCAAGTCAGTGCTTTTGTATGGTTCAGAGACTTGGCGCGTTACGAAAGGGATTTCCAATAAACTACAGACATTCATCAACAACTGCTCACGCTGGCTCGCTACTGAAGATCAGATGGATTGCCAGAAAGAATAAGCAACAAGGAGCTCTGGGAACGAACCAACCAAGAACCTATCACCCAACAAATATGCAGTAGCAGGAAATGGAGATGGATTGGGCATGCACTGAGAAGGCCGACTGAGGACATCACGCGTCAGGCCAGTTACTCGAGTGTAATCCCCATGGGAAGCGACGAGTTGGACGTCGGTGTCGAGGGTGACATGGAGGAGGTCGTGTGAGGAGGAAATGAGAGCTTCTGGGCTGTGGTGGAGCCAGGTTGAAAAGATCTCAGAGAACAGAGGTCACTGGAGACGTGCTACTGAAGCCCTATGTTCCACTAGGAACCCAAGGGACTAATAATAAAAATAATATAATAATGATTGAAAAAAACATGTTATAAAATGTCTACAAGAATGTTCCAACTGAGGTAGAAGGTAACAGATTTAAGTTGATGAAAATCGAGGAAGTTACTCAGACTACTCAAATACTTCACTATTTATTAATGTGAGAGAATGAACATTCCAGAGAAGACAGTGAAGACAAAACGGGAGGGGTGTATGCACAACATTATTCTAGAATTGGTGAAATATTTCCTCATAGTTAAGTCAGCTTAGTAAAAGAATATCAGATTCACATGATATCGAGTAATAAGATGAATACAACTCAGAAAGTGAGAGTAGGTTTTTTGAATAGATGAAAGAATAAACTGGAAAAGTTAGAGATTCATGACATCATGAAATTTTGTGTTCATAAATTTACAAGATCTCGGTTGTATTGGGTTCTGTGAGTTGGGTTGTTTGATCATAGAGCTTTCATCGTCTTTCTAGACGACATCTCCAGCTCACTCCGTACTGAAGTTAGTGTTGTTGAAGATGTCGTCTAGTGGGAGGAGGAAACCTCCACGGCTAAACAACCTAGCTCAGAGAACACAACACAACACAACACAACACAACACAACACAACACAACACAACCAAGACCATCCACCTTAAGTACAAATATTCTGCAACATTTCAACATTTAGAAAATTGAAATCAATAAAGCACAGTAAGACTGGTAACAATAACTTTCTGAATGCAAAGATGATGTCTCCGTCTTTTCATTGAAGTTACTTTACTAAAGTATGAAAGTTTACGTTTCAGTTGTTTATTGATTCCTTTGAACGATTTCGATACTTCAATATTATATCCTGTGTCAAGTAAATATCGAGATATACTGGACAATTGTATCTCCTTAGTACAACTTGTCCTTACTAATGAGAATTTTCCCTAGGGAAAGGGGTTCAGAACAGATAAATATGAAATATGCAATCAACCAAACAGCATTCTACGTAAGGTACGCTGATGATTCACTTGTTGTATGCAATAATGGTGAACATACCTCTCTCTTACAAATTCCACTTACTAGACCTCGGCATATAAAGTCATGTAGATGGTAAGATTCATTAGATAGACACATGGAGTGGACTTCTATTTAAACTTCAACAGTTTTTACCCAATCATTTACAAAAAGCGTATGATACGAACACTTTTCAACCGTACGCGTAAACTGTACTATGAAAAGAACATTAAGGAACAACCGATCTTTCCCAAACATTACGCGGAAATGGTTACCCACAAAAGTTCGCCTATAAGTACGGTAAGACCGAAGCGAAGAAAATCAAGTGCACCACAGTTGGTAAGAAGCTGGTCTATCCACAGTTTATATTCCAAATTGATAAACTCGTCACACGGATGAACCATAGATTGATTACTGCACTAAATACGACCTATCCGGTCACCAAGTTATTCTGTGTGTATCAGACTAAATCCTCATTGATGCAGTTCAAAGTCGACAAACTCTCAACTCTTATCTCCTTCAACTGTATCTACAAATTCACATGTACGTTCCCAAGTAAATGCATTGGAAAAATAGAGAGAAGGTTTCTTGGTCATATTTCGGAACGCATCCTCGTGAATTTGAATCTTACACGTTGACAGGGGATAAAAAGCGCAATCTGTCGGCATTTACTTGACACAGGATATAATATTGAAGTATCGAAATCGTTCAAAGGAATCAATAAACAACTGAAACGTAAACTTTCATACTTTAGTAAAGTAACTTCAACGAAAAGACGGAGACATCATCTTTGCATTCAGAAAGTTATTGTTACCAGTCTTACTGTGCTTTATTGATTTCAATTTTCTAAATGTTGAAATGTTGCAGAATATTTGTACTTAAGGTGGATGGTCTTGGTTGTGTTGTGTTGTGTTGTGTTGTGTTGTGTTGTGTTCTCTGAGCTAGGTTGTTTAGCCGTGGAGGTTTCCTCCTCCCACTAGACGACATCTTCAACAACACTAACTTCAGTACGGAGTGAGCTGGAGATGTCGTCTAGAAAGACGATGAAAGCTCTATGATCAAACAACCCAACTCACAGAACCCAATACAACCGAGATCTTGTAAATTTATGAACACAAAATTTCATGATGTCATGAATCTCTAACTTTTCCAGTTTATTCTTTCATCTATTCAAAAAACCTACTCTCACTTTCTGAGTTGTATTCATCTTATTACTCGATATCATGTGAATCTGATATTCTTTTACTAAGCTGACTTAACTATGAGGAAATATTTCACCAATTCTAGAATAATGTTGTGCATACACCCCTCCCGTTTTGTCTTCACTGTCTTCTCTGGAATGTTCATTCTCTCACATTAATAAATAGTGAAGTATTTGAGTAGTCTGAGTAACTTCCTCGATTTTCATCAACTTAAATCTGTTACCTTCTACCTCAGTTGGAACTAAAACCGTAGTGTTGAAGCAGCAGTTGCTAAATTACTTCTCGATCGACGCTATCGAAGGCCTTTTCAAAGTGGATGAAGTTGAGGTAGAAAGTTGACTGCCATTCTATGCTCAATTAACACAGTAGTGGATTAAAATAAAGAAAGAGTGACATAGTTGATCCTAATTTTGGTAAGAAAACAAAGTTTACCAAGGTAGGCATAGTGTAAGAATAAATTATACAAATTTGTACAGATAAAGGTGATTAGAAACATCCAGGCCACAATTGTTACGAAAGTCCTGAAGAAAGTTGAATGCTGAGTTAGGTTGACTCAATATATATATTCTGGATTATTCTTCTAAAGAAGCTGTGGCATACACAGCGAAGCGTTGAGAAAAATCTTGTTATCGTTTTTCTTAACACTCTTGGATTATATTAAAACTTACCTAAATAACACATAAAGGTGGTTCGAATTTGTGTACGGCTATGGCTTCCGCAAATCTCAGTATACTTCCCTGACTGACTGTTTCTATATAACATTTTGAAAGCTGTTTGAACATTAATTTCGTGACCTGTTTCCATAATGTGTTTAGCTATAGATGAAGAAGGTCATCATTTATCAAGGTTTCATACTCCATTTGTTTTTGAAGCCATAAGGGTACATGTTCTCCCAACCTCAACTGCATGGCGCGACTACTCCTCCCTATGCATATGTGATCACACACACACACACATGTAAATTGGTAAACACAATGGGATGTGATGTAATCATTGATGCAGTGTTTAGGTTTTGGTGAAACATGTGTTCTTTTTGTCCCACAATGATAAGATTAGCTGGGTGACATGTTTTCTTGATGGCTGATGTCAGCCTACATCTCAAAATGATACTATTCAACTCCCCTGTGTATGATAAAAAAAGTGTATAGAGTTGGCTTCAGTGCTACTTAACCTCTACAACGGTTTATACACTTCAATGGGTATCCATTTTCCGTAAGTGTTTTGGTCAGTAATTTGATATATTCATCCATTGTATCTGATATACTGATACGACAGATCCATTTAAACAGGCATTTTACTAGACCTCACTTGGACTGGATTAGACAAAAGTTTTGGTTACATTGTGTTCTCTAAGCTTGGTTGTTTAATCGTGAAGCTTTCATCGTCCTTCTAGACGACATCATCAGCACCATCACCATCCACCTGAGCTACAAATATTCTCTACTATTTCAAAATTATACGACCGTAGCACGCTTCACGTTGTTCGAAGATGGGAAGACTTCTCCAAAAGGCAAGCTTCCACAAGAGAATAACTATTCTTTCTCCATGAGTGCCTATGTCAGCATGCTTTGACGAAGAGTGTCAGATATAGACCACCGATTAATTGGAAAAAAGTGTTAAGTTTCAGGCATTATCCTGTCCATGTAGGCTTTGTGTAAACTGACCGTCTTATTGAACCATCTTCTCATCGACTCAAGAATATGTCTAAGAATGACAGATGGTTAGTATTCTCCTTCTCATAAGTCAGGCTGATGTGAGTATGTACGGTGTTAAGTCTTTTTAGTAAACAAGCCATATCCTCATGCCTCTCTCAAATCACTATGATGTCATCAGCATATCTCTTGTGAAGAGAAACTTTAACGATGATATCACCAGACAGATTTTCGATATATGACATATAAATGTCAGCTAATAA